CCCCAAAACCCCAAAACCCCAAAACCCCAAAACCCCAAAACCCCAAAACCCCAAAACCCCTTTTGTCTTCCAGACGATAGTCAATATCTAATTAAGTTATTTATATAAAATTAATCATGGAGTAATGGCCTAACCTATTACTAAACCGGGCAAGGGTCAAATGAGTTAATCAGTTCTCACCATCAAAATGTAGAAGAACTCAAGCGGATAGTCATAAAGCTCTTTAATTCCTCCTTCAATTTCTTCAGGGCTTCCTCACTCTTCCTAATTTCGTCCGAGTCTTGTTTCAATTTTGGGGAAGATTCTTCAGAGCAATCTTTTGGCATTTCCTTGAACTCATTCTGGATAATATTTTCAGAGGTGTTCTCTGAGTTTTCCTTAACCCCTGGCTCCTGAGCAGATACACTATGTTGTTGGCTATTCGTAGAGGCCTCATCAGAGGACTCTTCCTTCTTGTTAGCCAATACAATCGGCTTTCTCTCTCCAGATTCATTCTTTTTCCTCTTCTAAATTAACATTTGAGAGAAAGGCATTTATATTTCTTACCTTTTCAGGATTCTCTAGAGGGATAAGTTTTCTGCTGCCATCTGGGTCACGTACAACAGTGAGTCTCCTCTGTAAAAGAAATTAGCGATTATTAAGACAAAGGAGTTTATAGAAGGATAGATACTCACTCTTCTAATGTTAGTGCACCAACCCATGATTTGTTTTTTAGTGAGGCCTGTCTCTTCCTGGATTCTTATGAGATCCCTCCTTTCGATGTAAGGATGATCAAGGTTATCCTCAAGCCACTCTTTGAGAAGCTCGATGGATTTCTGGTTGAAGAAATCTCATCTTTTTCCCTTTTCTAAACTTAGTGTTAATTCAAAGTTCGTATAATGCAGACTTATTTTATTTTAAATTACCTAAGATTTCCAAAAAAATCTTTAAAACTAGGCTCATAGAACTAATGGAGCCTATATATAGTCATTAAGTGAGTAAGAACTGTATCTACTAAGACTTATACTTTGTGTCATGAGAATCTGTAATGTTTAAGTCCGGGTGTATCCACTCAGCTATCTATCCTCAATACTATGATTCCAGCTAATAGCATCAAATTTAATATGTCAAAATGAAGCTAAACCTAACATTTTTTCCTAATTTCGCTCAGAATTCACCATAAACCAGACCATTACAAGCAAGCTTGGCTAAGCTCTATTAAAAGAGGGGATGAATGTCTCTCTAGTAAATAAAATACTTCACTTCATAATCGAGTATCCATATATCTTACCTATAGTTCCAATTTTCTTCTTAGCGTCTTGTCTCATGATGAATTCTTTAAGGTTCTATACCAACTGGTTAGTCATTGCATATTTCGAGGTAAAAGAAGGATGGAGATAAGAGAATTTTCAGAGGAAAGTTCAAAGCTACCTCTACGATAGCACCACTTACAGTTTTTTATTAATGATTCAACTAGTAACTCGCTTATAGGGGTTTTGGGGTTTTGGGGTTTTGGGGTTTTGGGGTTTTGGGGTTTTGGGG